TCAAAGCAATCCTACTTCGATTTCCCTTAAGAAAAGATTGAGTCGCATTTAATTCACTTTCTTGCCTTATCTTCATACTCTTTATCTTTTGAGAAGAATGATTTAAGCAAGCCTAATTGATGAAATTTTACTCCCCTTACCTTCTAGATAAATTTAAAGCATGAAATATTATAAATATTTTATTTCTTGGAGAATCCAACCCATTGTCAGCTTTCGATTTTATGTTATGCGATATACACTCTTAAGACCTACACCAAACATGTACCTTATGTTTCTCAATCAGGTAATTTTTTACTTTTCAAAGATGTTAAATACTACTACAAAAGGCCTATTATTCATTATACGTTATTTAAGCTACTAGTTCTCTGACTTGTTACTTTTCTTTATACATCCTAGCTTGGATAATTTACTTCATAATAATTTTCAGTAAGCTTTGCTTGGAGAGAAATATTTTACCAATATTTCTAACGAATATTTGGTGTAAGTTTTACCATAATTTACCATAATGATATGAGTAGGCCTCACTTTTTGTTGAATTTCACATATCCTGGCTACCCGAAAGTTATTCTCATCCAGCGTGTACTGCAGTTTTGACATTTCCTAGGTCTCATTAACACCTCCAGGTCATCACAACGAATTTGTTTTAGCTAAGAACCACATCTTGCTTATTTATATGTTATTTGCATATTTGTTTGAGGTTAACATATCTTTACTCGACGGTACGTAGACCAAGATAGTGTGGCCTTTTGTATAGTCGCAGTCTTCTTTCGTTGTATGGAAGTAGTTTGACCTTGTTTTCGCAACTTTGTAATATTTGAACGAAGACATAGAGGAACGCACCTAGTCCGGAGTTCATAATATGCATGATAATTTCCCGTCAGACGATGGACGTGGTACATTTCCATATTTTTCGCCGGCATCGTCAATGAGCCTTGCCATTCATAGCACCATTCTACAACCTGTCAGAGACAAGTAAAGCCGATCCTTTTACCAATTGTCTGTTTAACAATTGTGATATCTCCTGCCCTGGGTTATTTACCAATCCTATATCCACGTATCACCCCTTCGCTATTACAATTTCTTTATTGATTATTTAAATTTGATATGGCGTGCCATTTTTTAACGGATTTTACGAGAACTCTCCACACGCCATGCTGGTCTTCACACTCCACCCACCTCCTTTCGCCCTTGTGCTGGGAATGTTAATCAGACTGCCATATTATTCCGCTTATCATAGTCTCCCTCCTGCCCTGTATGATCCGCCTCCTACCTTCCTGGTTTGGCTCTTTCACTTGACCCTTGCCATCCTATCTGTACTCCTTGAAGCATTATTTCCCTTTGCCTTTGATGGCACACATACCCACGCCTCGCTGAGTAGGCCCCCAAAAATCAGGATTTTCAAGCTAGATGGGAGACTAACTTGAGGCCAATGATCCCGAGTAATTCTCATGTTCAAGCCTTTGCTTCATGGACCACGTCTATGATGTGAATTTCAAGGGAGGCCAGACCTTTTTCCTCATACCACATTCTTTGGTGGGATTGTCGGTGAAACAAACATATTTTTGCTATAACAATCGACTACATTACCGTAAATCAGCTATATGATATGTGACTGTTACATCTTCCCCGCGACAATTTGGCCGAGTGGTTAAAGTGTCAAGCTCATATGCTGCATTGTCATGGTTCGACTCTCGCTAGGGGTGTTGATAACACCTATGTGAGGTCGAAACTACAGTTAACCCTTAATGAGAACAACTTTTTGGAAATCAAGGCTCTGTGAAATTCAATGGGAACGTCAAATACACTCATATCATTGTGGGAAAATTTTACTATCAGTCCTTCATCACCTTAAACGAAATAGGTTGAATACATCTCATAGTCTCTAAACTCTACTTATATACGAAAATTACGTCTACTGTTAGCCAACTAGCTCTAGTCTCCGCCGCATCTATCCTGTTTATCTATAATTTCAAGTCTACGATTTCCTATGCTCTTGTCTCTTGTGTGCCAAACCACAAATGTTGTGATTCTACATTGAACCTTATAAAAACATGTGGAACCACAACATTTTTGGGTTGGCATAACAGCGATTAGGGCATATAGGAAGACATAGACTTGACACAATAAAATAGGCTAAGACTCGGGATAATCAGCCTCAAGTTAGTCTCCCATCCAGCTCGAGAATGCTTACTTTTAGGGGCCTACTCTGCAAGGCCGGAGTATGTCACCAAAGGCTTGAGACAATGTGGGAAATAACGCTTTAAGTAGTACAAAAAGGGTGCCAGGGGTAGAGCGAAATACCTGAACCAGGAAGGTAGAAGACGGATCATTTAGGGCAAGAGGGAGACTGATATGACCTATGGGAAGAGAATTGCGGAGTGAGGCGGTGAGAAAGCCAGTGTGTGCTCTGGAGAGTTATCATGAGATCAGCTAAAAAAGGGCCCGTCATACTACATTAAAATGAGCAATAGTAATATGGAAGGTGTGATAGGAGGATATAGGGTTGGTGGATAGCCCAAGGCAGGAAGTATACCACAAGTGTTTAGCAGACAATTGGTCAAAGGATCAGCTTCACTCGTCTCTTTGACGAGTTGTAGTGTGGTCTAAGAATGATAAGGCTCAATAAATATGCCGGCGAAACGCCTGGCAGTGTATCGCACCCACGGTCCGACTCTGGAAATTACCATACATACTAAGGACTCCTGACTAGGTGCCTTTCTCTAGGTTTTCCTACCAATATGACCAAGTTGCAAATGAAAGGTAAAACAACTTCCGATAGATCTTTCATTTGCACTGCATGCCAACTCTTCGAGTAAACCTATTTACTCTTAAAACAAGTAACATTATCGATTGGATTTGCGAATACATGTTTTCTTTATCAATAATACCACTATACAATGCTATTTAAGTGGGGCCCAGCCTCCTTTAAATGCCACCTTTGCTCTGTGACACACTGGAACTTGTGGCTTTGTAGTGGAGTGGCAACGTTGCCGCGATACTCACGCCCCGGCATTTAGTTCCATTGTGGGTAAGTATTATACCTAGAAGAGATTAAGACTGCAGTTTTCTAGTGAGACAACCTTTTTGGATGCAGAGCCTAATGAAATTTATTCGCATCCGGAGGCCTTTTCATGTCATTGTTGGAAAGCTCAACTATTAATTCTTATATTCGTATTAGAGTAAGGTTTCGAGACTACCATTAAATCAGTCTAATGAGATGTATTCACCCTATTTCGTCTAAGGTGATGAAGGACTGGTAGTAGAATTTTC